GTCTTCTAATCTCTCCCCCTCCCCCTTCCTCTCCCTTCCTTCTCCCTCTTTCTCCTTCCCTTGCTCCTTTCTACCATTCCCCTTTTGATTTTCTTCTTTCCTCATAACCTTTCTCTCCCTTGCCTCTCTTTCCCTTTAATATGCCTTCGCCTCTCCCCTCTCCCTCCTCTTTCTCCGTCTTCCTCTTTCAGTTTCTCCCCCTTTCATCATCCATTCTCCCCTCTCCCCCTTTCAGTCTTCCCCCCCCCCCCGTTGATCCTCCTCCAAATTGCCTCTCCCCCCTTCTTTCTCTCTCTCTCTTTCTTTTTTTCAATCGTCCATTACTCCTCTTTACTCCCCCCCTTCCCCCCTTTGCCTCTCCCTCTTATTCGTCCAACTCCCTTCCCTCTGCCTCCCCCCCCCCTTGACCTCTCTCCTTTTAATCGTCCAACTCCCCCCCCCTCCCCCCTCCCCCCCCCCTCCTCCCTTTAATCAGCCATCACCTCGTCCCTCTTCTCCCCCCTCCCCCTTTAATCGGCCATCACCCCTTCCCCTCTTCCCCCCTCGCCCCCCCCTCCCCTCGCCGCTCCCCCCGCTACACCTGTTCAGCGAGAACCTGAAAGCAGAAAATTTATCATATATTAATCAGCTGTCTCGAGACCCCATCTTTATCATCACGCTCTTCGTATTTTATGTGTCTTTTTATTATGCTTTGGTTACCTGTTCTTCCTCTTTCTCTCTTGCTTCTCTTCCTTCGGTTTTATTTGGTTTGCTTTTCTGTTTGTTTGTTTCTCTTTTTTTCGTTTTTCGATCCTTTGTGATTTTCTTCTGTTTTTTGTCTTTCTTCTGTGTCTGTTTCGCTGTCTGTCTGTTTGTCTATGTCTCTATCCCCACCCTCTCTGTCAGTATGTTTATCTCTGTCTCTGTCTCTCTCTCTGTCTGTCTGTCTCTCTTTCTGTCTGTCTGTCTGTCTGTCTGTCTCTCTCTCTCTCTCTCCTGTCTCTCTCTCTCTCTCTCTCTCTCTCTCTCTCTCTCTCTCTGTCTGTCTGTCTGTCTCTCTTTCTTTCTCTCTCAGGCTCTCTCTCTTTCTTTCTCAGGCTCTTCACACTACATATCTTTGCACTTATCTGCGAATACCTTTTTATTTTCTCTTTCTCTCCATCTCGTCGATGTGCTTTACTCTCTACTAACTTATCAATGTCTTTCCTCCTTTACATAATTCATTAACATGATTCGACATTTGCATGTTATGTCTATGTAATATTCTGCATTTACCGGTTACATGAATCCGAATGCATGCGGATGCACTGTACGCGAACGCTCACGAAGGCGAAGACTCAACCTTTACCCTGAAATTTGCATTCGAAGAAAAAAAAAATCCAGCAAAACCGAAATTTCAGGTTTGCTGATATTCACCCAGAAACAAAACACAAGCCAAATAACCCAAAAAAGCAGAAAAAAGAACAAGAAGAAGAGGAGGGAAAAAAGACCGCCCAAAAAATGGCGCGAAATCGGTTTTTAGAATCCGGCAGAATCCGCATTCCCGCCTAAAAAACGGGCGAGGGGAAGGAAGCCGACATTCTCAGTCAGTGTTGCAGGAGACAGTCCTCTGTTGCCTGATGAAGTTATTGTGACTTACCTCTCTCCTAGAATGTCTGCGCGCGTCTACCTGCATGTAGAAAGGGAGGGAGAGATGCAGAAAGCGAGAAAGTATGCAGGCCGAGGCTCACCTTTGGCTTACATGCACGAGGTATGTGTATGTGTGCGCGCGCGTTGCTTTGGTTGTTTGTATGTCTGTCTCGGTCGTTCTCTCTCTATCTCTCTTTCTCTCTCTCTCTCTTTGTCTTTGTCTTTGTCTGTCTGTCTGTCTGTCTCTCTCTCTCTCTATCTCTATCTATCTATCTCGTGACACTATGTGTACACAGACACACACATTATGTAGACGCACTATATAATCACACAAGTCATTTCCGAATACGACACGAAAGTCAATGAAAATGAGAGCATCAACAACAGCCATAGAGACAACAGCTGATCGGAGGCCCGCTGTCCGGTCGACGTCGAGCTGTTACCGGGATGCGTCGAGTCCGGAGTCGATGGCCAACACCTGCCCGAGTCCTGCGCGTTCTTGGCTACAATAAGGGTCTTTTTTTCGTCTACTGGAGCTCTTGGGGGGAAATTTTCTTCTAGGAGGAAGGGGGGGGGAGGGAGGTAGTAGGGAGGGAGGGAGAGTAGCTGGGAGGGGGTAAAGGGAGGGAGGAGAGTAGCTGGGAGAGGGGTAAAGGGAGGGAGGGAAGAGTAGCTGGAGAGGGGGTAAAGGGAGGGAGGGAGAGTAGCTGGGAGAGGGAAAGGAGGGAGGAGAGTAGCTGGAGAGGGGTAAAGGGAGGGAGGGGGAGTAGCTGGGAGAGGGGGTAAAGGGAGGGAGGGAGAGTAGCTGGGAGAGGGGTAAAGGAGGGAGGGAGAGTAGCTGGGAGAGGGGGTAAAGGGAAGGAGGGAGAGTAGCTGGAGGGGTAAAGGGGGGAGGGGTAGGGTAGTGGGGGAGGATGCGTTGGCAGGGCGAAGGAGGGCGCCCCGCGTGGCTGGCGATTCGGGTTCGTCCGGCACTGGGCTCTCTCTCTCTCTTTTCTCTCATTCTCTCTCTCCCCCCCCCCCCATCTCTCTTCTCTCTCTCTCCTTTTTCAATCTCCTCCTTTCTCTCTTCTTACTTCTCTCTTCTCTCTCTCTCTCTCTCTCTCTCTCTCTCTTCTCTCTCTCTCTCTCTCTCTCTTCTCTCTCTCTCTCTCTCTCTCTTTCTCCCTCTCTCTCCTCTCTCTCCCTCCTTCCCCTGTCTCTCTTCTCTCTTCACTACTACCTCTCTCTCTCTCTCTCTTTCCTTTCTCTATTATTTCTCTCTGACTCTGTTTCCCTCTCTCATTCTGTCTCCACCTCTATCTGTCTGTCCGCCCGACTATCCGCTTGTCTGTCAATCCAGCGTCTCTCCCTCCCTCCTCCTTCGCTCTCTCCCTTTCACCCTCTCTCTCTCTCCTCTCCCTTTTCTCCTTCCCCCTCCCCCTGCCGTCTCGCTCCCTCTCCCTCTCTTTTTCTTCCCCCCCTCCTCCTCTTCGCTCTCTGACCGTCCTCTCCCTCTCTCCTTTCCTCCCTCTCTCCTCTTCTCTCCTTTATCCCCCCTCCCTCTCCCTCTCTGTCTCCTTTATCCCCTCCCCCTGCCATCCCCCTCCTTCGCTCTCTCACCCTCCTCTTCCCTCTCTTCTTTCTCCCCTCCTCTCTCTCCTTTCTCCCCCTGCCGCCTCCCTCCTTCGCTCTCTCACCCTCCCTCTCCCTCTCTCTCCTTTCTCCCCCTCCCCCTCCTGCCGCCCCGAAGCCCCGAAGCGGTTCCAGGAACAGGACGGGACAGTCTGGACGCCGCAGAGGTCGCCACCGCCTCCTCCGCCTCCTCCGCCGCCACCGCCGCCACCTGAAGATCCTGGACGGGGCGCGAGAGAGTCCTTTTCCACCCTTTTCCGAGGTCCTTTTCCCCCCCGAGGCTGCCCGGTCGCGCCCGCTTCGGGATCCTTCGGGAATGTTGCGCTGGGAGGGGGAGGGGGAGGGTTAGGAGGGTAGGGAAGGAGCCACGTCCTCTGGGTCATCGGTGGCCTTGTAGCCGTGCTCTCCTTTCTCTTCGTTTTCATTTTTATCTTTTTTATTTTTTCCTAGTTTTTTCGGGGGGGGGGGGGGGGATTTATTCTCTTCTTTTCTTTCTCGTTTTTTTTTAGTCTCTCTTTCTCCTGTTATCTGTTTTTTTTTTTCTTTTCTTTGGTTTTGTTTTCTCTCTTTCTCTAATTTGTTTTCTTTCCTTTGCCTTTATTTGTGCTTTATTCCCTCCTTTTTCATATTTTCTCCATTTTTTTCCTGTTTTCCTTCATTTTCTCTTTTTTTTTTTTCCGTATCTTTACTTTTTATTTCTGTTCATATCAAACCGTACTTTCTTTATCAAAATCTTTCGCTTCCTTGATTTATTTCCATCTTTAGAACCCCATTTCTTGTGGTTTCTTTTTTTCATTTTTCTCATCATGTTCATCTATTTTCCTCCTCTTTCTTATCATCATCATTATCATTGTCGTCTTCTTTCTCTTTTTCTCTTTCGTTCCTTGTTCTCCGCCTCCTGTTCCTTCTCCTCCTCCATCTTCCTTTCTTCTTCTTCATCTTCTTCAGTGTCCTCATTTGATTATGAATACCATTGTTTTTCTTTTTCCGTTTCGTTTCTTGTTTATTTCCTGCCTTATTTCGTGTTTTCTTTCTCTTTCTTTTTCTCTCTTCTCCACGTTCACTTCCATTTTTAGTTGTTGTTTTCTTGAATTCTTTCCCTGTTTCTTATCCTTCCTACATCTTCAGTTCTTTTTTATTGAATATTTATTCTCTTTTCATCTTTTTTATCGTTCTTTCTTTACTTTACTATTTTGCTTGTATATGTATGTCTCTCTTTCTCTCTCTCTCTCTCTCTCTCTCTCTCTCTCTCTCTCTCTCTCTCTCTCTCTCTCTCTCTCTCTCTCTCTCATATAATATTATATATATATATATATATATATATAATATATATATATATTATATATTATATTAATACATATATGTTGTATGTATTTATACCTACAAACTCACATATTATTTTGTGTACATGTTTGTATGTATGGGTAGATTGGTACACATTCCGAGTGCATCGAGCCCCTCTGCCCAAGTCCCGCAGCCGGCGGTTCCTCGGCCGTGTCCCCCGATGGCATGGCTGTTCGAGGCATCTGCCGTAGTTGCGGTCGTGGCGGTAGTTGGTGCGGTAATTACGAGGTTGGTCGCGGTTGTGGTTGTTGCGGCGCTGAGTTGTAGCCGTGCAGCGGCAGCGGCTGTGGCGGCTGCGGCTGCAGCGGCGGCGGTGGCTGTGCCCGCGTGTGCACCCCCCTGCCCCCGCGCGTACCCCTCCCAGGACACCAAGGTCTCGGCGTGCGCTTATAACTGTCCGTGACGCGCGGTGCGGCTCAGTCCGTCGCCCGCTCGCGCCGCCGCACAACGCCCGCACCTGCGCCAGGGACAGCCCCTTCCCCTCGGAGTGTCCCTCGCGTGGCCCCTCGCGCGCCCCTCGTGGGGAGGAGTCCTTCATCTCGAGGAGCAGGAGTTCCCTTCAGGAGTTTGTTGTTTGCCCTCGACGGCCCCTTGAAGATCCACTTGTGCTTGGAGGCGATCCTTCTGCTTGGCGCGTGTGTGCCTCCGTGACGTGCGTGCGTGCGTGCGTGCCAAGGAGCCGAAGGGCGGACCCGCGGGTGTGTTCTCCTGCAAGTGCCACAGATGCCGTAGTCGTTAGTGCAAGCGATCGGTGGACGCGCGCGGAGAGTGGCTCGCGCCGCGTCGAGTGTGTTTGCCTGCGAGCCTCACTTGGCCGCCAAGGAAGGAGAAGGACAGCCTCGCTCGAGTGACACTCGGACAGACAGACGCAATCGCTTGTGTCGCGTTGCTTTGAGGAAAGAGGAAGGAAATTGGATCTACCGCCAGCGCTTCGGAACTCATCCTCAG